TTTTCTTATGATCCAATCTGTTTTTTTTTGAATTACAATAAACTTTCATTTAATAAAAGAAAATTTTAGATTTCATTAAATGAAAAACTTTCTCGATCACTTCAACTTGGTTTACTTCTACATTTTCCTATAAAACAAAATGAACTTAATCATGCTGAAATATTATCATGGTCAAGTCGTTTTAATTGTCCTGATTTACTTAATCATGATTTTATTAAACTTTTTCATCAATCTATTCAAAAATATATATTATATTATGAAATAAATTTAATAGCATGTATACAAGAAAGTGTGGCTGCATTAATATCTGTTGCATTTGAATATCCAAATACATTAATATCACTTATATTTAACCATACATTTCAATTATCATTTGTTGAAGATACAGAAATATTACGTTCAAAAAATTTTTTTCAACAAATTCCATTACGTGCACTTTATCAAACAGTTCTTTCATTTAATTTTCAATTTATACATTCAAATAAATCAATTAAAACTCATGCTTTATTTCAAACATTATTAACATCTATTGATATATATGTTATGCATAAATTAAATGTTAATTATTTTGATATATTTACATGTGATTCATGTTTACTTGAAATTATACGATTATTAATTATTGAATTATGTAAACATGAACAATTATTATCAAATATATTATTATCAAAATCAAAATTATATAAACATGGTTCAATATGTTTAAAATTTGTTTCATATATTTTACAAGGTAAATATTCAAAATTAAAACCATATTTAAATAAATTAGGTTTAAAAAAAATGAAAAAAATTAATTTAATTTATATGGAATATATATGTCATATTATAATTCGACGTTCAACAAAAATTCTTTCTTGTTTAATTGCTTGTTTATCTGATCGTTATAATGAAGAAAATTTAACTATTGCTATTGATAGTTATCTTTATCGTTTATGTCCTATTTATCAAATATATATACATCATGATATTGAATATTTACGTAAACCATGGATAACTATGTTTCATTTTGTCAATGCAACGAATAAATCTTATGTAATTAAGAAAAATCAAGAAAGTATTCAATAGATGATTAAAAAGCGTTACTCTAGTAGTTCGAAGTGCTTAGATCGGATTTACATCGTGAATTAGGCTTATTTAGACATGACTTTTGTTGTTGTTTTTAAACATTTTCATGCTAAATTGGTTTTGAGCAGGATTTTGAAAAATGTAATTTCTCAAAAATTGTATGGCGGATAATCTAAATATAAATCATGTAGATCACTCGTTTTATACAGAAAAAAGTATATTAGAACTAATTTTCTAAAAGGTTTTGGAAATTATACGTTCAGAGAAAAGAAAGGATGAAAAAATGCGATTATCACCTAGATATTCTCTATGGATAGCTTCTTAGAAAAAGCCAACCGTTCATTAAGACATGTACATAAAAAAACCACCAATTGTACAAAGTGAGAGGACTTGAATTATTCCAAGTCATTTTGACGATAATATAGTTATTCATTGGATCTCCGTTTAAATTATTTGCCTTTATTTTTCTCGATATTCATATACGACTATCGATCTTATTGGCTTGGTCTCTTGAGTGATTCAATTATTTGTTCGGATAATATTTAGTATATCAAGCATTCTATTATTAAAATAATCACAAACACTTATCGTTAGATGTCTAATCAAGTGAATTGTCTAAAAATTTTTCAATTAGTTGTTATAAATATTATTCTATTGTATTAGTATAATCATTGATAACTTTGCTTTTCTTTGAACAATATTCGTATAATTATAAATATTGCTTCTATTTTATTTTCATTATAGCTTGGTCCAGCAGCTGTTATGGGTTTACAAAAGACACAAAAAGCAATGATTAATCAAGATGATAATAGCAGTCATTTATATGTACGTAATAAACGGCATCCACGTACAGGATCAACTAAATTGTCTTATTCATGATTTTTAACTAATTATAAGTTGAAAAATAACTACATCTTTTAGGTTTTGAACAATTATTGTCAATATTTTATTATTATTAGATCAATTCTAAGTATTCGTAGACTTTGTCATTCATTGATAACTTGTTATGTTGAAGAATACATCGTGATATTAAATAATGATCACCAATGAAAATTAGAAATGGAAGCCATGTTTCTTTCTTTAGAATGTTAAACCTTTTAATCAATGAGTCGAATTAGAAATATTTTTATGAATTCTATTGAAAAAAGTTCTTTTTTTGTTCAAATTTTAAAAAATAATTTCGCAACCATACTCGATGATTATTAAATACAATCGAAGTGATAATTATACTCTTCGGTGATAGTCTTAGAACAAAAAGATTGTTCTATGATAATGATTGAAGTAGACTTTTGATATGTTGTCATATTACGATAAATGAATTAATTTCATGATGCATGAGATGAATAAAAAGTTGTTATTACATCTAAAAAAAGCAAAGAAAAAGACTATTGGTCGATTGTAATTAAATCATTTTACATGTTAATAATATTTTTTCGGGTAATAATAGAGAACAATCTGATAATGAGAAGAGAAATTTAAATGAATTATCGGTAAAGTGTCTTAGATGAAAATTTGCAAAAAAAAAAAAAAAACATTGATTCACAATAAAAAATTCAATTTAAACATTTACATACATAGGACAAGCCATTCGTTAGCGACTTGGATCTGTAAAATTAAAACACGTCTATCTCAAGGTAATGAACTTTCCTAGAACTAAATTTCATATCTTGCATGAATGTTAAGTTACTATAGATATCCTAGAAAAATCAGCACTAAAGATCTTTGTTCAGAGAAGTTATCGATAAAAAAACTAGCGTTAACAACGTGATACATTAAAGACATCGACTTTCACGTCATGTATTTTAGTTTAAAAATACGCTGAATTGTAGTAGCACTTTTGAAAACTAAATAATACATTTTGTAGACAACTTTTGACGTTTAGAATCTCTATCCAAAGTTTTTTTTTGTACATGCCTAAATTGTTTTCAAAAAAAAATTGATTAGCTTCGTATAAGCAACGTCGCAGAATACGACAAAAATGCTCTTATAACTGAATGAGAAGTTCAAAAACTAATTCCAACAAGTACAAAGTTTTCTTTTGAATCTCTAGATGACAGTGTGACAAAATTCATGTCATAGAATCTATCCAGAAGTCTTTGGACCTTTTTTCATATGGTTCGAGAAATCTTTGCTAGTTATTTTGTAACTGATACTCCAATAAAACAGTCAACATTTTTACATATGTCTATATTTAGAGAAGTTATTTAGAAAAAGAATCTTTGAAAAGAATCGAAGTTAAATGAAAGGTAGATATGCTGCATTTTGCCAGAAATGGCATATATATACTGTATTTTATAATTCTACTTACGGCATACGAAAAGTAATGAGATTTTTAAAGAAAGAAAAGCACAGAAAACATATGATTCAAGTTTTTATGTGATGAAATGTTCGAAGCAGTTCCCCCTGAGTTGTTGACACACGACTTTGTTAGTTCAAGCCATTTATTGAGAGTTCTTTTTGTAGTCATCTTCGTTGAGCGAGTTCATAATCTTGATAATCGCAAACTGTAAGGATTGTGAATAGCTTTGGTCAATATTTTGATATCTTCAAATTCAAAATACTTTGAAACGTTTTCCTAAGCATGCAGCTTGACCTTGTTGTGGTGAAGTGTTTTTGCATGTGTATCAGATGTTGATCTGTTTGATCAGATTTCGTTGATAAGAGATTCTAGGCAATTATCGATGAAATAGTGATGATCGATAGTTCGTTCTCATTGAACATGATGAATTACTACGGTGCCAGTTGTTTTGACAAAGATGCAAAACAGTATTTTTGGGAACGAAGCTGCTGCATCAAACCACAATAGTTGGAGTTCTATCGATTGCTGTCCAGGTAATATTTGATGAGGTTCGATCAATATTGGTCATAATAAAACTATGACTTATCACTCATCACTATATCATATAATCACCATTTTTCCTGTACGCGTCTCGCCATATTTTCTTGACAAATTCGAAGTAGTTCGGCTTGTTGTTTATCAGTTAGAAACTTAGGTACCCAACATACAGTAATTTTTTGAGCTCCAAATATTCAGAAATAATTTTTTCAATGGTGATGTGGCTCCTATTAGTTTCCATGTATATTTCATCAATAATATGATTAAAGTCATCATTAATACGGCATCAAGCATTCTTAAATGTTTCTAGATGCTATCTCGCTTATAGATTGACCAAATCGTGGTTAGTCTTGAATTTTTTCTCGACCTTTACAAATCAATTTTAACCATCTAGCAACCGTATTGTAAGGTGAAGCCTAGTCGCCAAAAATAGAATACAATGCATCGGGAATCAAATTTAGTTGAATATTAAGCGGATCATTTACTTTAATGTAGAAGGAAAAATTTTCCCTACTAATCTGAAAATAGGAATATATACTCATATCTTTCAAATCACTCGAAAACCGTGGTTCTTCTGTTCAAATTTGTTTGTATCTCAATGCACGAATATTGTCAAACTCTTAGAAAAAGCAATGGAGTGATCATCATAAAACATGATTTTAAAGCTCATTAGAGATAATGTCCGCTCATTTTTAAGCCATATGTTAAGTTTTTCTCAAAATCGCGTCTCCTTATTATTGAAAGTGTGCTCGAGCCACATTGGCCGATGTGGCTTAGGGTATATCTTCAGATCATCGACATCACCGTACCCTCACTCTTTGATGTGTTCTGTCGATCAGATCCATTAGTCAATAGAGCAGTGTCAATTGGTGGAAGTGTGTCGACTATTTTTAAGTTGAAATCGTCCTCTTGAAGGCTGAAAATATCCATTTAATAGACAAGTTATAAAGATTTGATGAAAAACTAACAACATTTGTTGTTATTTATTATTCATGTGAAAATATTTTATTACAAAATAATTAAGATATTTTTAGAAAAAAAAATGTTTTTTCTTCTGAATTTTAGTTCGAATTTTTCTTTGTTTGTTTATTATATCCATTCAAAATGGTACTTTTTCATCTTGTTCATTCGTTGTTTTTTTATTTTTATCTTCATTATCATCTAATGTAAGAATTTGTATATCACAATTAACGTCAACTTTTGTTGCTTCTGGTACAGTTGTTTTTGTATCTAATGATGTTGTTTCAGTATTTTCATTAATCTGTTCAAGATTTGTTTGAAATGTTCCCATTGATTTACTATGAAATTCTGTTTTTGGTCGCACTTGTACTTGTGTTGGTGGAGCTGTTCGAGGACGAGAGATAGGTCTGGATGAATTTTCATTTAATGGAGTTATTGGCTTTAATGATGATACTTGAGGAAATCTAATATATTTGATAAACAAAAATAAAATATTTAAATTTAATTTTGTTTTGTGTTTTTTTTTGATACCTATTTGCTAATAGTGAACCGAATGAATCCATATTGACTTGAATTCCTTTTGCATTTTCATTTAAATTATCATTGTTTTGAATACGACCATTTTCTTCAAGTCCTTTGATTGCTGCTGTGATAAGTTGACGTACAGCTTCTTTTTCTAATTAATTTATATTGAAATAGACAGAATAAAAAATAAAACAAACTATCGTCAAGATTTAAATATTAAATATGATAGAATTACTTCCGAATTCATAGAAAAATCTTTTTTTCAATTTCTGTGTTGTTACAAGGTGCTAATTATTCTGTCTAGTCAATAGATATGAGTAGAAATAGATGATTTTTGATTTAATTCTTGACTAAGAAGAAGAACTTTGATCAGTGAACCTCTCATTATTCTTTGTCATGTCTATAAATGTTAGATTCTTTGTCATGTCTATAAATGTTAGGTTCTTTGTAACCTACTTAGATTCTCATTTCCTTGATCTTGAAGAATTACATTCAAGTAACCGGAATCAAGCTCTTTGATTTATGCCTAGTTAGTTGCACAGAAAAAGACATTAGTGAAAGTAACCTTAACAAGCACTCTGCTGTTACTCAATACTACTTATGATAAATAGATATGTTCGTGGGAGGAAAAAAAAGAGTATCAACTTGTTTATTATAGTGATCAACATTGATTAATAAGGTTATATTTTTTAAAAAACAGAACAAACCATGAGGGCCTGAAGAAACAAGCCATGATTGTATTTCATTAATGTTGTCAGTTTGTAATACTTGACAAAGTACTTGAAGCATCTAGAAAACAAACATTTAAACAATCGGGAAAAATATTGAATGTATCCCAAAATATTAGACATTTATCCTTACCCACATTTCTCTTTCTTGTTCATCAACACAAAATAGATGATTAGGTAAAATAGATTTAAGTGGTGTTCGTCGACGTGATGATCGAAAACGACTTGTAGATTTCGGTGTTTCATTCCATCGACCTGATTGTCGACTATATTGACCAGTTGTTGATGGTGTTTTACTAACAGATAATGATGGTAGTTGTGATGGCGATGGTGGTGTTTCCTTCCGATTTTCTATTTCTAATAATTCATCTGGTGTTACCAAACCAATCATTTCAGCAATACGTGCTAATTCACGTCTCCAATTATCTGTATCTTCAACTAATAATAAAAAGAAAATAAATTTTATTATATTTTATTTTCAATAAAGACTTACCTACCTAAAAATAAAATAATTAAAAAAGAACTTTTTAAAAAATTATAAAAATTAATAAATAGAAAATCATACCGTTCCGGACGGATTCCAACCAGGCATAGGAGGTAGTAATCGTTCTCGACGTTTTTTTGGTTGAATTTTATTTGAATATGATTGTAATAATATTTCATTGTAAGATTGTGGTGAAAAATCAATACGAAAACGTGGATCAGACATTAATGGTTTTGTATATTCACTTGCTATGGGTATTGGTAAACGAAGTGGTTCTTCTCGAACATGACATACTCTTTGACCAGCAGCTCCTTAAATATTTTTTTTTTCATTTTAAATAAAAATAAGAAATTTTCAGTTCAATACAACGATTGAATTACCTGTTATAAATCTTAAATATCTCGGTTGTGCTACATGTCTTGCAAAGAACATATTTTTAGATAATTGCCCAAAACCATTTCTAGTTTGTGGACGTGATCTTTCGACATCCGTAGTCATTTTTCTCTTACTTTGAATATATATATGTAAATGTATATGTGTTGTTTTTTTTTTTAAATGAAAAAGAAAAAAAGAAAAGGAAAGTATTTCATGTACAAGTATGTACATCAAAGAAAGTCCTGCAACCAAGCAACAGTGATGTGATTTAAGGATTAAATTGTACATTGAAAAAAATGCATAGAGAATCAACCAAATAATTGAGAGTTGTAGTAACAAACAAGAATATTTTTGAAGACAAAAAATGTAGTTTAAGAAAGACTTGTTTTTTTTTTTGTCGAGATTTATATTCATTTCAAGCGTGACATAAAATTTCCTCAATAATTTTAGTTTTTCACTTTGTGATAATTTGAGATGTTGTAACAAGATTACATGTAATAGATAGTTTTCCACATTTCGTGCATAAATGAAAGAAAAGAATTAATTATTTTTCGAATTAATTATTAGAAGAACAAAATCATGAACAATAAAAGTTAGGCGTGTCTTCTATAAGAAAAGAATAAACATATGACTTAAACCAACAAATTCTGAGTCATAACTATTTTGGAAATTTAACTTTGAAATAAAAAGATTAAAAAAATCAATGAAGAAAAAGAATTTGCATGTTACTGTATAAATTAAATAAAATAGAAAAAAAGAAGTATGAGGCTTATTTGACATTCGTCCGTTTTAATTTCCCCAATTCGGTTTATTTGCATTTTTTAAAGTTATAATCATAGAATCCAAACAATAGTAGGCGGTGCATAATGAACGATTTAATATTGTCTCGCAGATATATTTTTAGAAAGTCATTCTATAAGGAATCTGTTGTTCTAAAAAATTGTTGCAATTGGTTTTTTCTTTGTTGAAGCAAAATTTAAAATATTCACAAGTAATTAACTAACTAAGATGGTTAAAAGCAATGGGAAAATGGCACACTTTTATTTATAATCCTTTCTGAAATGACATGCATGCCTTAAAATTCTACATCTCTCTTATGTATATTTCAGAAGTGAAAAAATATATTTTCGAGAATAGTTCATAATGCAAAACAGTAGGAGAAAGGCTTGTCTGACAGGATGACATAATTCTTCTTTGTTTCTTATGCCGATAAAACTTAATTGTTTGTACTTTTTAACTTACCAGTCACAACATTTTATTCAGAATTATATTCCACATCCGAGAACACGATAGTGACTATTTCATAGATTAAGTATTACTTTGAAAATCATGTTTTCTTATGTCATGAGCAGAAAAATATCAATAGGTTTTAGTTCCTAACTTTTGTTTTTTCTCTATGAACAATAGCAATAGGAATCTTGTGAAAATCATAGAAGCGAAAAGCATAAAAATCTCTATTGAATGATTTCCTGAAAATGTATTGGAATAATCTAAAATGATATTGTCTCATTTCATATGCATTATCCATTAAACTTTTGACTTTGTATTCAAATGTCAACATAACTAATAGAAAAAACAAACGGTTATCCAAAAAACATTTTGTTACTCTTGATTAACAATGAATTCATTGATGTATATCAAATTTTCTCTGTATATTCATTAGTTAATCATTATATCTCAGAAATAATTATTCTAAAATTATCTCATGAAATCGAAGAAAAATCAGAAGCATTACTAACTGCTGAAAATGCGTTCTAGCATGAATAAAAACAAAAATATATTTATAAATCATGATAAATTTGCATGCTTCTTTATGTCACATGCATGCACACAAAATATATGTATATGATGTTGGTGCACGATCACACAACAGAGAATTTTATGTTTATAAGACTCAAATTCAAATATATAATGTTATTCAGGAAGAAAAAACAATCAAGTTCCGTTTGATATAGTTACATGAGTTGATGAAATTGTCACTTTGTTCTATAATTTTTTTAAATGAACTTATTGGCAATTAATTGATGATATCATAATCAAAAAAGTATATAGATCCTTATAATTAATTGTTCATTTTCAAAAACATACATATCAATTAATTGTAAGTAAAAACATTTAAAAAAAATTGTATAGAAAAAAAAATCAGAGTTACATTTTGTTAATGTTACATATAATTCTAGATTGTTTCAGATGACTTTAAGTATTGTATTTAATGAACTAGCTCTTGCTTGGGAATTTTTCTCTGAACTATGGTATTCATTTATATATCGAATGATAAGATTGATAATGAAAAATGAAATGAACTTCCTAGTTGAGAATGCAAAATAAAATAAAATCAAGATGGAAAAGCTTCCTGAGGATGGTGAATGACGTTTTCATACTATAATTGTCTTCTACAACAGTTAAGATATTTTAAATACTATGAAAGAAAAATTCAAAGCACAATATCGATGGTACTTCGACAATCGCATGCTAAAGTCACACGTCGTTCTTTTTTGTGTATCTAATATGTTTCTCATAGTGTTTATTCGATGTATTCTTTGTTGTTTTTAAATTAGCTTTACTGTTATAATTTATACCGAGCTGTCATGTATACTCAACATTAGATTTATTCTATTGATAAAATATTCAAGTGTTATTTAACTCAACCTATGATATCTATTTCATGAGCTACGAAACGTCGAATCACACAAATAGATCTACAATCATATAAAACATAAACAAAACCTAATTATAGTGTTTTCTTTAGAATGTTATTAATAATTTTTTCGTAAAAACAATGGTATGTATGTTTTTTTAAAATGAACAATTAACTACAAATATACATAGTTTTTTTTTATTACAATATCAATAATGGATCGATAGTTATTTGGTAAATAGTCAATCTAAAATAACTTGGAAAAAATTCTGTGTCGAAGTGACAATTTTATCAATCGGTATAATTTCTATAGGATATTTTTTTCTCAGCTTCGTTTGATTTCAATGAAAGAAAAAAAAAGAAAAAGATCATTGAAGGGAAATAGAGGACATGTCATGATTTGAAACGATAATATGAAAAAAGGAAAAGCAAGCTGGTGCGTTGAGTAGATGTCTATGAGAATTGCCTATTAGACATTCATACAGATCTGAATCGCATATGGAATGACGAATGACTGTGATTTTAATGTGCTTGTTTTCTTGCGAATACGAGGAGAAAAGAAACGAAGAAAAGAAGAGGCTAATACCGTTGACAAAAAAAAAGAATCATCATTATCGTTATCATCGTCAATAACAGAATCTCAACTAGTTTTTCTCTACTATCTTTTTTTCTCGCTCTCGCTCTCGCTCTCTCTCTCTCTCTATTTCTTTTTCTCTTGGATGGAAACGTAAGGCAAGATCAGTAGGAGCCTAATATAACATTCGGTGATCACTATTTTATATTGTGACTTGTTATGAAACTTTATAATCCAGTTTTTAGAATATTTATAATAACTTCATCTCCTTTGTTTTTACTATTCATAGAGTAGAAATTCATTTCTGGGTTGATTTTATATGAAAGCATATTGCGATGTTCTATATTGATATAACCCATATGAGCAGATATATTTCATAATTTTTCTACTTATCTTAGATTTATTGCTCTTATATATAGGCTTTAGCCGGAAACAAACTAAGATTATAGACAGTGGAGAGGAGTTCTTATTGTGTATCTATTGACATCCTTCGATTTCTTTCATAAGCTACATGTTTTAGATCGCGATAATAGTAACGTTTCTGTATTGTACTTAAAAAATGATATATAAAATGTAATAAGCAACTTGAATGCTCCGATTTATATCTATTTTTTCTTTATTTCCATTCGCATCGATCATTTCGTCGAATGATCACGTTCTTCATCGTTCATTCAGTCTATCAGTTACAGTTTATGAACAAAACAAATGCTAATATATATATATATATTCGAACAAATATAAGGTTTGTTTTTCTTTTAGATTTAACTATGTTACAAGAATTCAGTACGCATATTAATTCATCTGATCAATCACATTCATTATGGAATAAAAATCTTTATGCCAATACGTCTTTATTATTTTCATTTATACTTTCTTTTGCTTATGCTATTATATTTCTAATTGGTCTTATTGCAAATATATTCGTTATTATTGTCATTATAAAGTGTCGACGAATGCGTACATTAACAAATAGATTTTTACTTAATCTTGCTGTATCCGATCTTCTAGCAACAGTAATTTGTATACCACCAAATGCTTATCATCATTATGATAAACGTTGGATATTTGGTGAATTTCTTTGTCGATTTGTTCCATTTATACAGGGTAAAAAAATGTTTTTTTTTTCTCTAAGAGATAGACATATATATATATATATAAATCAATAATTTATTTTACACAAAAATAAAGCATGTGTCGAAATACAAATAAATTAAATTGATGCATGTTTCTTCGAGTGAAGATAAACTAGTAAATTAGAAGTCAACTAACTTCCTGCATTGAATCTTATGATGAAAGTGAAAGGCGTACAAAGATAATTCGATTTATTATAGCTTTCGATTCGTCCGAGATTGCTTAAGAAAAATAATAAACATATTCCATTTTAGATCTCCTCTTTAATTGTAAAGAATATTTTTCTTCGTGTCATTTTATATGTTTTTTTAATTGATACTCAAACATGAGAAAAACTCCCATATGTAATCTAGTTGAAAACTACAAAAGAAATTATCATTTATCTTGTATGACAAGAATTCTCTAAGGATGCATCGAGACTTACATGTCACGCTTCTTTCTAATTCTAAATATGCTAACATAAAATTCTACATATTTTATTAGCTTTATAACATATTATCTATATCTAGGTGCATCCGTAGCTGTTTCAATTTTCACACTAATGGCTGGTAAGAAAAAAAATCATATTTATATGATAAATCTTTATTATGTTTTTTTTTCGATGATTATTTTTTAATAATTAGTAAGTGTTGATCGTTTTATTGCTATACACAAACCCATTCATTCTAAATTATTATGTACATCAACAAAAATCTTTGCAGTAATTGCAATAATATGGATTACTTGTATGTTGTTATTTATTTAAATTTTATTTTTTTTGTTTATTATAATTTATTTCAA